ATATAAAAGTGATAGTGCAGGAGTTCTTTACAATCCTTCACTGGGCTTTATTCTGAAAAAGTTCAGAAATGATGTATTTAGAGAAAGATATAGCCCTGAAAATACAATGACACAGACATGCCAACAGTACATGCCAACGATACATATATAGTATTCATTTGTTTAGGGATGAAAAGACAGTAATAGTAAGGTGACTCACTTCCACAATATCCTTGTTACAAACAAGAATAATATTTGGCACTTCCATTGTTACCTATTAATTGGTGGAGCAAGTTGGGTCTGTTGATTGTCTTGGTTCATGTTTTTCTTGCCTAAAACAGTACTGAGTCCTAAAATACAAATTACTTCTGACTCTGCTTAATTTTTCAAAATTAGCCAACATTACTTAAATATGTCTGCCTGCCTCGACCTTAAAACATATTATGGGAGTCAGTAGTATAATAGCAGAGATTTTGATTTTGATAAAGATTAGTGCTTTTTGTTGGGATCAAGTCTTAGAATCTGCTGTTTTTTATTTGATGTCTTGTTTGACTTCTTTGAAGTCTTGTTAGATGATTTTACTCAATATAAATTATGTTGGCATAGAGTAAAACTAGACTCTTGCCCAGTAATTTGCACTTTTAGTGTAACTAGTTGTGGCTTTCCAGGAATTTTCTTGAAGGATTTTTACTATTTTGCTACCCTGAACTCTATCAGGGATTGAACCTGATCTTTTCTATGCGAGTTATACCTTGCTTAGGAATTAACAGAAGCATTTGAGTACATCTAGTACTCAATACCAAACTCATAAAACCTTTGGATGATGTGCAAAATGTATTGTTTGTAGAGTAAAAATAGCAGTACAAGGTAAAGTAGCATGAAGCAAATAGGATTAATTATCCTAAAGTTAAAAAAGGACAGGGATATTAGTTTGAGAATGGTGCTCATACAATGACATTTGTTCATCTATTATCTTCTTTATGTGAATTGAGCAGATTGACATAAAATATGGGAAACAAGATACTGGACATCAATAAAAGTTCCAGCTATAAAGTTCTCCTGAGAAGTAAAATAAAAGACACAGGGATTCTGTGGGCTCCACCATTTCCTGTCTGCACCATTCCCTTATTTGTCTAGTATTACATGGGATCAAATCCTGCTTCTTAGGACAAGTCTTTGCCTATTTAGGAGATGAAGATTTCAGAAAGTACATCCAGTCTGTATAGTCCACATGACATTCAGGTGCAAGTATGGGGTGGGAGCTCAATGGATCTTTCAGTGTCTTTAGGCCATGTGCTTGTAAAGATGATGGCATCTATCCAGCATCAGGTGGGAACTGGAGACCATAAGTCTACCACCCTTTGAGAGGTAAGTAAGATTCCTGATGTCAGAATGCTATAAACGATAGCCAGCTCTGCAGAGCACAGCAGCACCTGGGAACAAAGGCAAGTAGTATTTCAGAAATTGTTGCTTCTTTTTGCTGTGCTTAGAAAGAAGGCTCAGCTTGTTTGGGCCAGTGTTTTTGTAGCAGCCTAACCAGTTTGGCTTCTTTCACAATTGTAGATTCATGTGCAATTACTCAAGATCCAAAACCACATTTGTCAATTTATATCTTTCCTCCGAGGTTTATCAGTATTCATTTTACTTAAACCTTGTAAAGTTTTTTTTTTTAAATCACAAAACTGCAGGGCAAAGATGAAGAGGAATACATTTTGGTAGGGACAGATTTCAATATAAGACACAATGAACTATTAGGTAGAAAAGCAATCCCTGAGTAAATATCTAAATGCTTTTGCTTTGGTCGGAAAATGTAATTGTTCAGTGTGGCATGATCGTGTTTCTTCTGATATGAACATTTGCAGTTATAACTAAAGTGTCAATGAAGGAAAACCTGACATCCAAGTTATACTTATTTTGCCTTATATCAAAAGAGCCATTAGTTATTCTTGAAGACCCAGTAAGTTGTGTTCATCTATGGTGGCAAAAAATCAAAAGGAATCTGTAACACCTTTTCCAACTACAGGTAGTCCTCAATTTACGAACACAATTGAGCCCAAAATTTATGTTGCTAAGTGAGAAATTTGTTAAGTGAGTTTTGACCCATTTTATGACTTTTCTCACCATATTTGTTAAGTGAATCACTCCAGTTCTTAAATTAGTAACACATTTGTTAAGTGAATCTGGTTTCCCCATTGACTTTGCTTGTTAGAAGTCACAAGAGAGGATAATGTAATCACATGACTCCAGAACACTGCAACTGTTATAAATGTGAGTCAGTTATCAAACATCCGAATGTAAATCTCATAACCATGGGTTGCTGCAAGAGTCATAAGGTGAAAAATGGTCATACTCATAAGTCACTTTTTTCAGTGCTGTTATAACTTTGAATGGTCACTCTAAGATGCATTAAGACTGAAATGAAGAAGCTTGAGCAGATTTGTAAGCCTTTTGGAGTGATTACTCACATTAAAGATCTTGCAATGTTTTTTATGGATGACATGTTGTAAGAATCACATTATCACTGAGTAGGAATATTCTTGGATGCCCTGATGAGTTTTAAATTAGGTGCCAGTTTGCAGCTGAGTAGAATACAGAATATAATTGTAATTGTGTTAGTTTAAAATCTATTTCTTCTAGCATATTCTTGTTTTAAATTGTGGATGACATTTGATTGCTGTCTGGTATTTTAGTCTGTAACTGCTCAATAATCTGCTTCATCAGTCAGTCAGTGTATGATTTCAGCATTTCAAACTGACTGTCAGATAAGCCCTTGCCAAAAATGTGACAGCAGGAATTTCTTGACTTAAAGATATGATTCTGCCACTATTTATTAGCATTATATGTTGTCTTTTTATCTGTCGAGTTTCTGCTTTATTTGGCTTCAGGGAGAGATCAGAGTGATCTTGCAATAAAGTGATGAGTGCTTCAAAGAACCTTAGGAAATCATTATGGGCCCAAATTTTACATATTATTGCAGTTTCTTGATTATTGAGAGGGATGAACTTTCTATTTTGTCACAAGAACACTTTCTTGTGTCTACTACCTTTCTCTTGCTTATGGCCAGGTTGCTTCAAGCAATCTGCTAATATTGATGCTTTGCAAATTTTATTGTATGCAACAGAGACGTAAGAGTCTGTTCATTGTCTTTTAGATTCTTGCAAAAGATTTCCTGGTGAGAAGCTTGTCCTGCAGTACCAATTCTATGTTTATATTTCTTCAGAGCATAATAAGAATAGCTACAGATAAGGGGAAAAGATTTTTCTTTAAAAGAGGAAGGCCTTTTATGGTTCCATCTATTCATCATTTTGTACTTGCAATTCTAAAGTTAGGAACAAAATCCCTCCTTTTATTGCTGAAGTAGATCATATGGCTCTAATGAAGGCTTAAAGGAAAGCCAATTTGAGATCTGACAGCTGAACTCTTTTCCTTTCCTGGAGCTAGACCAATATACTTCATTGTAATTATTTTTGGCAATGTGTATAAATATATTATTTTCCTGGTTTTCTAGAAATCTTTAAACAGTAGCTTTGGTCTTGCTATTCTTGAAAGAATTGAATGCAAATCCAATTATCTGTGCACATGAACTATTATGAAAATCTTCTTTGAATGAATCATATCGGTTGTATACATTATATTTAAAGCTTAATAGGGTTTGCAGAATTGTTATATGCATGCGTGATGTATAATTGAAAATATTAAGTCCAGAACCTAATTGTTTATCTTTCCTACTGTTACTGCTAGCCCTCATACTTTAGGCCTTTATCCCTTCTTTCTTATTCCTCTCTTTTTGTCTGACTGGGGTAAACCCTACATAAGATCTTATTAACCTACTTTTCTACATCCTCAGGGTGTGCTTTAATATTTCTACTTTACTCCTCTAAATAGAAAGACTGAATTAACTACAAACTGCAGCAGCCAAATGAAGACTTTTTAAAATAGTGATAGTGGTTATGAGATTGACAATTTCTTGTACAGAATTCAGAACTCTGAGCAACAGTTTAATACAAATGGGATAACAAATCATAACTATCAAGTGGAGGACAATAAAAACAACACCATTGGATTATGTCCATAGTAATAAGCTCTAACTATCTTCTCAATCAGCAATGCCTTTTAAATACATTGTAGTTACACATTTGTTAGTCTCCATTAATAATTTAGCAGGTTTTTACTTCCCATGCTTTTTCCATCTTAAATAAACATTTGAGTATATATACATCGGATTACCTTTTGTGTCTGTGCATACTAATTTTAATATGAAAATGTGCTTCTTTAATATTGTATCTTCGTCTTCTTCAGCAGATGGCTGAATTCAGAATATGGCTGAATTTGGAGTATTATTGAATGAAATATGCATCTGTCAATACACAAAAATAGATCTAACTCCATTAGGCTAATATTGTCAATGAATTTAAAAAAAAATTCCATCCATTTGGGATGGATTTGTGTTGATTTGAAAAACATGGCAAGCTAAAGGTAACTTGGTTACTTCTTTAAAGGATGTCAAAGAAATGTGTTTGTCTGTTTTTTAAACACACTTTTATAGATTGCTGTTCATTTCTGGAGTATGTATGTATGTATGTATGTATGTGTGAATGATATTTCTTTGAAAAGAAACATATAGCTTTTGTTAGAAGATAGGAAATGGAGTGGAGTGGAAGGAAATAATGAACTGGTGAATGAATCAGTGAGAATGTTTGTTTGTTTGTTTCTGTGTACTCTTAAACAAAATATTATATTACAATTCTTAATTCAAAATGTGTGTAATAATACATAAGTAAATGAAAGTTATGTTTGAACATCATGTTTATTAAAACAATTACAGAAATAGTTGTGATATAAATATGAATAATTGTGCACTTTTCCTTCTCTAAAATTTCAGAATAAGTAAATTTAGCAAAACCCATTTATGGCTACTTAGATGCATCAACTATTTCCATCTGTATGTGAATCAGAATGACCATGATATAAACAATTTTGGCAAGATACATATTTAATCTTTGTGTCTTCTTTGTCACCAGGGAAAATCCTATTCCGAAGAAGTCACATTCGAGATGTAGCTGTGAAGAGATTAAAGCCAATTGATGAATATTGCAGGGTAAGTGACACTTCCTCTTAAAACACAGTGAAAAATGCATAGCATTTATTTATATACATTTTAATATATTGCTTATTCTCTAAATCTCAGGGTGGCATATAGTCAAAACAAAACCAAATAAAGTAACAGAAAATGAAACAATATCTCATCTACCTAAGGCATCCCTTCCACCAGCATCCTTCAAATGATTTGTCGAAAAAATAAAATCATAAGTGCCTTCCCAAGACCTTGGGAACATTCTGTGCCATAGCAGTCATGATGTCCTATACTGTGGTGACATAAAGATTTTGAGAATTAATTTAAAAATTGGAGACCAATGAAACAAATAATAAATTCAGATCAAACACTATTTTGGTTAAAATATCACATATAGGTTTATGAGAGAGACTTCTCTGGGATCCTTAAACTTTCCAGTGTCATCAAAGCTAGAGAACCTCACAGAACTCAGTCAACCATCTATGCTTCCAACAAAGGTCTCAGAGGCTTATACTAGGTCTCCTATTCATGTTGCTTGAAGAATTTTTTATTTCGCAACTATCTTCCCTAAGTAATTAAATGAATTTATTTTATATATTTGGAATCAGATAATGGGAGTAGATCTGTTTTATATTACTGGTTTATTTGTGGAGCCTCTTTTTCAAAATCATTATCATGTCATCATTTAAACCAAATAGCATCCTAGAATGAACTCTCAACAAAACTTCTGAAAAATGAAGTATGCAAAATAATTATGAAGTAGTTTGAATTTCTGAATGTATCTGTTAAATCTGAAAGTGCTTGTGAAAGTGACCATATATAACACAGAATTTTATCATAAGAGAAAACTTTTTGGATTCGTGATGTATTACTTTTTAAGTGCATTTTGTGCCTTGTCCAGAAGCTATTCTTAACCTCTAATTACTCATCTGAGGGTGCAAATTTTCTCAGATTGAAGTTGGTGATACTCCTTATGTGGCAAGTTGAATAAATAGCATGAATATGAAGGAATCCAGATATCGATAAATATTTTTAGGTACACTTGGCAATACAGCTATATATGTTAAAGTTCAAAGAGGAAACTTATCTGGGAGTACTAGTTTAATAAGCATTTGGCTTTTTATTGGAAAGTGTAATTTACTACTTTAAGTTGTGACATAAGGAACAACAGTAAAGGCTTGCTGTTTTTTTACCCTTTTACAATCTCTTTATTCATTCACCTCAATTGCATATTTGGGAATAATTATGCACTGGGCTGACTAATAAGGATCACAGCAGTTTCTAAATCATCCAGAATTTTTGTCCAGTTAGATTTCAGTCTAACCAAAACATACTAATGAAACTTTAACATCCTGCATTTAACAGCACAGCATAACCTATCATTCAAATCAGTATGTTTTCATTTTTTTATAGATCCTTTTATATATCATGTATATTGGGAAAATATATTAGTTAAATTTGTCTTTTGGAATGAATGGACTATGAATTATGAATGCAACTGACTTCCATACAAACTTAGAGCAACTCCCACAACTATATCAGGCTACCAATGGATACTGTCTGTAACAACACATCATTTATCTTTCAAATATTTAATTGACTTCTTTTCCACAAGATTCCTTTCTACTTTTTTCTTTCTAGAGCAGATTAAAAAGAATTATTGGCAGTTGGCAGTAGTTAATCAACCTTGACTGATCTTAGAAACTAATGAGCATATTGGTACCTGGGGGTACTGGAAAGGGGGAATGGTTCGGAATTCCAGGGTTTTGGGCTAGATTGGAAAGTAAAAGAAAAAAAAATCCTGTAAGAAAGCAGAAACTTTTAAAACAAACAGAATTTCCCTTTGTCAACTTTTCAGTCAAAACAGAATCAAGTTGGGGTAATCTTCAATTTTTTTCTGCCTTCTAAGTTGAAATTTACATAACAGGACTTGTAGCCTCTACAACATAACATATTCCTCTATAGCTTTACTTAGAATATGTAGTACCTAACTCAACTGTGGCAATCTGCAATCTTTGAACCGCAATCTGCAGCCTGTTTTTATATTTTCATTAGTCTGTTTAATTGTATTACTGTAGACCAATGAAAATGTTTTAGAGATTTAGAGGCCTCCATATTCCCCTCTGTCTACTTAAGTCCTAGAGGGATCATCTAACCTTTTATAAAATGGCAAAGGGTGTCCTTTTCTTTCAGACACTCTTTGGCATTTCATTGACCTTTTCATTGAAACATGAATATTGTGTATTTATTTTTTTCTTCTGCTGTGCATGAAATAAAAAGCAATTTAGATTTTGGATGTCATTTACACCAACACTTTTCTTCGTAGCAAAGTCTATTAATGGTTTGGGATAGCATATTAGATTACCAATTAATATAAGAATATAAGATGTTTCATTTGTAGAGGAAATTTGTTGGGTACCATCAAAGAAGGCTCTAGGAAATATTATGGTATGAATATTTTTTCTTCTTGAATTAGCTCTACTTAATGGTTGAAGTAGAAGTTTTATTTTGATGACCCATTTCAGATTCTCTCATGAAAAATTAGGAACAGGCTATGACTGTATGTATTTCTTCAACCTTATATACTTGGCTTCGTATAACATTTCCCATTTGTCAAGCTACTGTTTGTTGTGCTGAAGTAGTCAAAATATGTTGTGAGTAACTTCTCTGTACCTTTCAAGAATGAATGGAATACAAATAAAGTTCTAGTCTCATTATAGGCATAAAGCCAGCTTGGTGACTTTGGGCCAATCACAGTTTCTCAGCCCTTTCTCTCAATGGCAAACCACTTTGGAAATATTGCTAAAACAACTATAGGGATTTGTCCAATTAGCAGCCAGGAATCAACACTGACTCACAAGCGCACACGTGCGCACAAACGTGGGCGTGCGCGCGCGCACACACACACACATACACTTTAATTTCTTATATTTCTAGTAGACAGTATTTGAATTACAAAACAAATGAGATTACTGTTTTCATTGCTTGTTTAAATATAAAAAATATCTTTTGCTTGTTTGAGTGATTCAATTGTGATGTTGATATGTCGTTGATATGTCATTGATCAGCCTTTTTAAAAGCACCACAAATGGAGCAAACCTGTAATTCCCAAAATCTCCTGCCAATGTTTCTGCTGCTTAGGATGATAGAACTGAAGTACCCACCATTAAATGATGCCATTGAAGGTATCATAATGTTTATTATAAGCAGCTGTTAAAAATGGGGACAGTACTAAATTTCCTTGGTAACCATGTTAATAAGCTGAAATTTTAAATTTACTTTCTGGTATTTCTGTTTGTTTAAATAAAGCAGCTCAACAATGTTAAAATATGCAAAATGTAAAAAAAACCATTGTAAAATTAATATAGATAATTTTAAAAATCAAATCAATACTAATTATTAAATAATTAAAATATTTGTTTATTAAAGCTTTTGGGCAGTTCGGTTTACCCACAGGTGTCAGTTAAGGTATCCCCAGTGTTCCTCATCTTTTTATTCTTAGGCTGCTTGTATGTTCAATTTCTCTTTCTTTTCAACAGGCGCTGGTAAGGCTTCCACCTCACATCTCACAGTGTGATGAAGTATTCCGTTTTTTTGAGAGCCGACCAGAGGACCTAAACCCTCCTAAAGAGTAAGCTTTTATTGATTTCTGTTGCTGTTCTATGTAAGGAAGGAAGGAAGCTAAAGGTCAATACATTTTATCACATTCAAAGAATGGAAGAGTACCTAATTTTATTTTATCCCTTCACATCACAGGGACATGGGCTTGTAATTTGACAAATACAAATGAGGAATATACGTGTGCTCGTTGTGCAAGAAGAAAACTCAAAGAAATGTGCCCTCTGATTCATTACAGGCCAAAGTAACTTTTTTCGCTTTAGTGACTTGCAGAATCATTATTCGTTATATCCTGAGGGAAATCCTGCCAGTTAACAATAAACTTTTAATTGCCATCAATTTTCCTGGATGGATTAGTGCTCAAAGATGGTATGCAAGGCTTTGATTATGATCCATGTCACAAGTAATTTACAAAAACTATTATTTTGGAAACAGAAAGCAAAAAGAGTCACAAGGAGAATACAGATCCTGCTAGAGACAGAGCAGAACTTCTGATCCCTATATTGCATACAGTAGTTAGATGTACACACACTTCAGGCTTTCAGCAATTTACAAATTGCTCTTGTTGGGAATTCTGAAAGATTTTACAAAAAAAATGACATACTGTATATTATCTACCGTAGTTTGCAGAAAATAAATAATGCATGGAAATTTCTTAAACATCCCTGTTTGTAACACCTCAATGTAGTCCTGACTATTTCTGGGGGATCTTTGATTTGGTACTTGCCTAATAAGCATGTAAAGTAGTGAAAAGATTGTATTTATTTATAGGATGGCATACAACTAAAAAGAGATTTGCAATACAGGGAATTCTCAACTTACAACCATTTGTTTAATGGCCATTTGAAGTTACAACACCATTGAAAAAAATAATTTGTGACTGATTTAATAACCATTGCACCATCCCCAAAGTCACATGATCAAAATTTGGTCGTTTGGCAACTGCCATGTATTTATGACAGTTGCACTGCCCTGGGGTCATGTGATCACCATTTGTAATCTTCTGAGCTGGCTTCTGACAAAGTTAATGGGGAACTCAGATTTTCTTAACAACTGCACGATTCACTTGGCAACTGCAGTGATTCGCTTAACAACTGTGGAAAAGAGATTGTAAAATGGGGGTACAATTCATTTAACAACTGCCTTGCTTAGTAATGGAAATTGGGTTCAATTGTGGTTATAAATAGAGTGCTATCTTTGACCAGTTGGGGCATAAAAATATATGTTCCACTTTATGGGACAAGATAGCCTAGCATCCTTGTCCCAACACTCAAAGAAACAGTCAAAATGTCATGGCCTAAGAATAATATTGAGACAAGTCAAATAAAATGTTCTTAATTCTTGAGCATTATATCCTCTTTAAAATGGAAAATGCATATTTTCTATTTTAATTCACTATGCAGAGATAGTAAATTAATGAATAAATATAGAGAAATACAGTAATCTTTATGATACCATTTTTGTTCAAATTGCAGTTGACTCAAGCTCTGGTTGCTGCCACATTATTTCTAATATTTGCCAAAATACAATCATGTGACCATGGGGGAGGAGGTGTAGCTATTGGAACTTCAAAATGTGTCATCAGTAGCTCTGGGAAAATCCGTCATAACTTTAAAAGGCTGCTAAGCAACTGGCAATTAACCTGAAATTATTATGTGGTAATTTGAATAAAAGTTTGTATTAATCATTTGTAAGCACAACTGTTGGGTTAATAGATGGATTATTTAAACTCATACAATTAATTAACCAAGGTTTCTATCAGACCTTTCCAAGAGGAAGACTTCTTCTCTGAAGGTTATGATTATAATCTATTTTGCTGATGTAGCATGATTGGCTCATGGATGTTTTCAACTTGCTTTCAACTCAGACTGGCCCAATCTCACCTGCCAGCTTCCATCTGTAATGGAGGACAGGATTTGTGTATCCCCGCTTTTACTCTGTTTCAAGTAATAGTTTGGTTCTATGTAAATAGTCAGAAATAGCCAGACAGTATGGCTATTGGCTATGCTGGCTTGATAGTTTGGGGTCTGTGATTTCACCACATCTTAAGGTCTATTGATTGGTCAAGGCTCTTTCAAAAAGCACTGTATAAGCTCAACTACATAAACAAATGGTAGATAACTACCTTTTGGTCTGCACTGAATGTCTTGAAAAATGCTTGATAAAATCACTGCTATGCCATCTGTCTTTAAGCTGTCTGCACTGATGGCTTTGATGCCCTCTGTCTTCAGAAATACAAACAGCAGATCAAATAACCTCATGTTTTGACTCAAAACGACAGGCAGCTTATTGAATTATCAAGGCTTCTAATTTAATTGAAATTTCAGAGATAACCCGAGACCTTCCTTTAAGAACAAAGGTTCAGCTATCAGAGGAATTGCATTAAAAGTGTGATCATATAAGAGAAGGAACTGTTCTTAGATGGCTGATGATTGAAAGAATGGCCATGACAGTGAGGGAAGCAGTCAACCCCAATAGAAGTTAAGAAGGGGAAGGAAGGTCAAGAGGCAGATGGATCAGTGATGTGTTCAAGTTACTAAAGAATAGGGTGAGCATGGGAATGGTAGCTATTGTTTCATGTAGAATATTTTGAAATCTTAAGAAGTGTTCAATAATAGCTCATTTGGAATCTGTGATGAACTCATGTGGTCAATTCCAAAATAGATAACATTTTTTAAGGTTGCATTTCTAACTAAGCTACATTTGTTCCACGGATACTACTCTGAAATTAGAGTGCCAAGGTTCAAGCCCTTCTGATTTATTTTCAGTTGTAATTATATAATGACATTGAAGTTCTAACCCTACACTAATGAAGGCCAGCTACGATATGTATCACACCCTGAAAGGCTTCAGCAATCTTCCTGTAAGGTCAGCTTCAAAGCAATGTGCCAAACCACAGGATATTACATATGGCCGATCGCATTTGCTTTTAATTACAGTCTGAAAAATCATCAACCTTCCAGTGGAAGCTACTTACTAGTGTTCTGATCTTTGAAAGAAAATTATAAGCTTAAAGTTAGAATCCAAAACAAATAATTTTTGTATTACTGGGACAGAGAAGAACTCATATAACGTGGAGGAAAGAACAATATATTGGAAAGTATGGTAGTTTAAAAGATCTTAAAACCCATCTTTGCAAGAGAAAGCACTATTGTGTTAACAAAATGGTTAAGAAAAGGGACTCCTTTCGTCGTGTGTGAGTTCTCACTTGATGTGCGTATCAAATATATGTTAGTGCATAGCTAAAAAGTGATTGATTAGCTTTTGGCTCAGGTAGTGTGAGCCTGTGTCATTGGGTTAATTCTATAAAATATTTTTTCTGTTAATTGGAAGTTAATATCTTGTAGAAATTTGACTTAGAATACACTACATCTGTTCAAAATAGTTGGTAGGCTATAAACAGTTCTTGCATTTATTTGATCTTGTTCCATTATCAAATAACTTCTTCGGGATTCCTCCCAAGCTCTGTTTTCACTGGCAGAGGGTTGCAGGAGGCCATCCCAGCCAAAAACGGACCTCGGGAGCCTGTTTTCACTGACAGAGTTCTCAGGCCACCACAGGCACCGACATGCGTGACTTTGAGCTGGCCCCGCCGCCCCGCCCCCACGAGGTCAAACACAACCCTTATGTGGCCTCAATGAAATCAAGTTTGACACCCCTGCTTTAGGAGGACAGTTTAATGTAGAAGTGCTCTTCTAGATTGAAATATCAAGGAGTTGTTGGATAGTAGGCTAGGATACTTGCAAAGTATAAAGACTTTTCTTCAAGCTTATGCTTTGGTATTTCTGGGTTAGGAAAAAGAAATATTTTTTTGAGTATTGCTCTAATCTTATCTTCTAGCCTATTTCAATATGTTTCTTCTAATTTCAGGGACAGTAATCATTTGATTATCTTCAATTTATAGTACCCCCTTGCAAGTCATCTTATATGGGAAAGTAAATAAAACCAGAAGGAATATCCAATGCATGCTGATCTCATGTTAGAACAAATGCTGTGTTTCTCACTCATGAGATATTTAAGCTAAATTTGGATATATATGAACTATGTTCTATGGGAAAATATTTTTCTGCCCTGCCCCCAACTATTTTTCAAAAAATGCTTGCAGACTTTACTTTTGAATCTCTCTCTTTCTTTCTTTCTCTCTGCGCACACAAAGTAAACACTGGCAGTACAGTGGTCCCCATTTAACAACTGCTCATTTAATAACTGTTCAAACTTGGTAGTACAGTGGTTTAATGCACCCTGTAATTAACACAGCTGCCTGCAATTTCTGCAGGTTCGAATCTTACCAGGCTCAAGGTTGACTCAGCCTTCCATCCTTTCTAAGGTAGGTTAAATGAGGACCCAGTTTGTGGGGGCAATAAGCTGACTTTGTATAAATATACAAAAGTTTGAAGGCTATTGCTTAACGCATTGTAAGCCGCCCTGAGTCTCCGGAGAAGGGCGGCATATAAATCAAATTAAAAAAAAAAAACTTGCAATGCCATTGAACAAGTGGTAGTTACAACCAGTCCTGAAAGTCCCATCTGGTCCAGTGTCCCTACAGGCATATGATTATGATCCATGTGCTTTCTGACTGTTGCAGCATCCCGCAGTTACATGATCATAATTTGCAACCTTCCCTGCCAGCTTCCCTCTCAACCCCACAAGCAAAATCAATGGGGAAAGTGGCAGAAAGTTGGAAGTTGCTATCAAGTGAGATCCTCACTTAGTGACACACACACACAGTCTTCACTTAATGATGTAACTGTGGACTGCTACAACTGCTATTGCTAAGTGGCATGATCATGTGATATCCGACTTTATGAAAGCATCACTTCATGTTACAAATTCTGGTCCCAATTACTGTTGTTAACCAAGGACTACCAACTATTATGGCTCTTCTGCACCTAGTAGCTTGCCCTCAGCACCCAAACATTGATCAAGTCATGTCCCAACACACAAAGAGAATACTATGTATAATAAATATATTATTGAGCTGTAACATAAAACATATTTCAGTTTTCCCAGTGG